TCAGTTTGGAAAAGCAGCGTAACCTAGAATCATGAATCTGGGAGCTTGAGAATTATATATTTATATATATATATATATATATATATATATATATATATATATATATACATAGATGCATAAAAACCAGTCCCATCCTCAGATTCTTGCAAAGAAAAAACAGCATAAGAGTCTTGCAACACGTTTATATCTAATAAAATCACCGTCCTAATCGCGGGTTCCTCGACACGTTCCGCGTCATCGCAGAGCCTCCCTCCTGGGCCGTTGAGCTTACGCGTCCACCACAACTGACGTTTTTTGGATTAACCTTCAGATATCTGACCGGCAGAGTCAACTGGTAACAGCGAAAGATTGGTCACACGACCTTCCGCCGACCTTCCGCCTCTGCCAGCTGTGCTCCTCCAATGCAAGGCGATCAAGTCCAAGTAGCGTTAACCGTGTCGTAGGTCGAACGACACGCTCAAGGTCACACGACTGTTTGTTGATATGCAGGGGCGAGACCAAGGAGGAGAGCCGAGGGGGTCGAGTCCCCCTCGGCCAAGCGTTTTATACTATATGCGGGATCATTTGGCAGGAGTGTTGCACAAACTCGCAGGATTTGGAAGGAATATGACGCCATCACCTGAAGAAAACCGGCTATCTGCCTGTCGGTTGTGCAAACAGTTTACCACTTGCAACTGGCGACGACAGTAAAACAGCGCTAGGGAACGAGACATCTTGTGTAAAAACAGAGGCTGCGGGCCGTCAGGGATACCCACTAACCGATGGCCAGGCCAGACGTAACTACTGACCGAAAACGTTTCCGCCACCGCTAGTCGACAGGTAACCGACGGTATTTCCTTTCACTCTTTCTAGTCGCCGCGCTAGATACGCCACCGCCGGTTTGTGTGCGCCGTAAACAGCAAATAAAAGAGCGGCGTTGGGTACCATCGCAAGGAGCTGGTGGCAAATCACCCGATCAATCAGTTCCTCGACATCGAAGCTCTCCATCACGGGCGCGAACCGCTCGAGGCCGATCCATCAGAGCCTCCTCAGCCGTCAGACACCGTCTGCTGGCGCCACTGAGTGGCCGCCTGCCCACTCTGTCCGCCTGGTTCGACTGATGACCAGCCTCACGCAGCTGGCTGTCCTGTTCGCCAGCTTTATCGGGGACGAGGCGGCGGCTGGCGCACGCAGTTCGTCGGGCGTGCGGGCGCAGCTGGGGCGAATAGCAGCGGAATGTGGTGTGCACAAACGCAGGCTGCACATCTGCGAAATCAGCCATAGGGTTGACAAAGGGCCCCTGATAGTAAAAGTTCCCCCCCAAAAAAATAGCTGGATATGGTCTATTTGTTGACAAAGGTTTTTCACATTACACATACATCTATATACATCTATATACATCTATATACGTATATGCATACATAAATGTACATGTGTGTGTGGTGTGTGTGTGTGTGTGTGTGTGTGTGTGTGTGGTGTGTGTGTGTGTGTGTGTGTGTGTGTGTTGTGTGTGCGTGCGTGTACGTGCGTGCCATGCGTGCGTGCGTGCGTGTGTGTGTGTGTGTTATGCATTTTTCCTTCAATAACTGAAATCAAGGCCAGACGCTACCGCCAGATCAATTCCGCATAAGGTTTATAGTGAATAAAGCGACAAAATCGTACGTTAAGTGACTGCATGAAATAAATCGCTGGCACTCCTCATTTTACAGTGGTCAAGTGGACTCCTTTAAACCGATAGAACTCAGGAACTTTGTCAGAATTTTTATCTGTACCGGGATATATAGGCAAGGACCCCGCAAATGTAGATTGAAGATCAAAATGGATCAACGTTTTGTAATAAAACGCGCCCGGATGGCCGGTTGGATACCCTTCGCTCGGGTGGGGGCCAATTTGACCCCCCCCCCCCTTCCTGAGGTCTCAGGAACTAAGAGGACTAGAGACACCAAATCAAAAGATGTGTTGGCCTGTACGTGAGCTCACTTAAGTCACCGTTCTAAGGTTCCTACGGTCATGACCTTCGCGTCAAATACGGTCAAACAAGGCCAAACGCTAAGTTTGTCTCCCAAGTATCCCCAGAACCTAGTATACCTGTACTAAGGAAAAGGTCACATGCTCATTTAAGGTCAGCGGCCTTGTTTGATCCTTTCGAAGGTCATGGTGACCAGAGCATAGAATACTGCTTTAAGTTTTGTATCTAAATAAGCGACAAAATAACGCTAGGCAGTACGTTCCTAAACAAAAACATTGACCTGGGTCATTTTGGATCGGTGACCTATGATGACTTTTAAAAAGTTTGTGGAAGATGTCTTCTGCGGTTTCTGTCATCAATAAATTCGAAATGAGCACCAGAAACTATTCCATACAGCAAGCCCTGGCGTAATTTTACAAGTTGGGTTTGACCTTGGTCTGACATTCAAACGTGACCCTAGATTAATGGAATTTTGAGTCATCTAATTGTTGTGTTACTTAAAAAAGTATCTCAGATGTGTGGCTTTGTCTAACGCTCTGCTGTTCCATCAAATTGAACGATTCCCCAGAAATTGACTTCGCTGAATTCATGGCTGGACTTTGACCTGCCGTGGGTCGGCGACCTTACAAGGTACCTCTAATTTTTTGATACTACACGATTCGCTATTCACTTGTCTATAGGTATGCAAAATTTGGCGCGACTTCACCACACCGTTAAAAACTATTCCGGAAAAACCCTGGTGGGGGGGGGGGACAATTTGACTCCTACCCGAGCGCGTGTCACCATGGCCAAGCCATGTTTGTCTGTAAGTGTTCAGCATTCAGTTAGAATCGGTCAATGATGCAACTTCATGTGACGTAGTTTTTGGCATGGCCACCCGCATACCTTAGCAACAAAAACCTCCTACGCCAGGCGTTGCAGTCTCCATAGACCGCGCGGCGTCAGGCATAAAATCGTACATTTAGAGATTTTCTGGGCGTATACCTTACCTGTATGATTGTTAGATTAATGACGATAACGTTTTGGCCTTTATTGTACTGCGAAGAAGTGCTAGAATCTGGTGGTGGAACTGACACAGGCAAAAGTATAGTTTCTATTTTTCCGTGTTGCTGTAGCTGTCGTCTGCCTAGAGGATAACCTGGAGGTTGTAAAAAATACATTCATTCAAATCTTTGAGCTCTACGAATTAATTTTGAAAGACACTCAGAAACATTATTTTACGATAGTCGTTGTTGCGCTCACGGCCTAACCGCTTGGCGTTACTTGCAATGGCCAATGCCGTTCGCTTTTACGGAAGCTGTAACCCAGCCAACGCTGTGATTGTTACCTTAGATTGTCGGGATGCTATTAGGGCTTTACGACGCACTCAGCTGCTGAAGCTATATGGCGTCGCCTGCCTCTCACCCTGGCAGGAAGGGCGAGCACCACGGAGAATCGAACCCCTTACCTCTGGTTTCCCAGACGCGCAGTGGTTGACGCAGGCGCGTTAACCACTACACTATCGGCACCCAGCGCGCAGGCTCAAACCCTTTGATGTTATTTATTTCACTGATCGATTCTGCAAAAGATAGAACGTTCTCAGGCAAACATGGGAGGAACACTGTGTCAGGGGTCCATATCGGTGCAAAAGGTGTCCTTACCGACATTTGAGATCACGGTACCATGGGCGGGGTCCTAAATGTGACCGACGGCCCGCCCTTCGGACCATTCAGCGCCCCAATCGGGCACTTGATCTTTGGTCTCGAGAGACCCTTCGGCCCCTCTTCGGGCCCCCTCAAACACCGCTCCGACTCCGGATCACTTGCCGCCACAGGAACCCTGTTGGGCACTATGGCCCCTAACCGACACAAGAGCCCCTCATTGTGTCAGGGACCCCAGCTATTGCAAATCGTGGGCCCCGGCCTCGTTCCTGCTTGGGAAACGGATTTCAAGGGCTCGGACGGACATGGAGCCGACTGCTCGGTGTTCGTAGTCTCTGGCCGGCTTAGGCACCCGCGTTGTCCCAGGGGCTCTTCAAACGATGCAAGGGTACCTCTGACTGATATTTCAGGTCACGACCCTACGGGCCGCTATTTTGCTATGTGGCCTGCAGCCAGCCACTCGGGCCCTTATGCCCTCCGACCGGGCCTTTGATCGTCGGTTCCGGTGGGTCGCCAGATCTCTTTTCGGGCCTCATCGAACACTTCCATTGGTCAGGTGGGCCCTTTGCAAGCACACTGTTAGCGCTGTGGACCCCAGACAGATTCAAGGTCCCTGATCAGTGTAAATCACTCGTCTGGCCGACATATAGGCCCATATCAATTTAGGGGTCCGCGATCGGCGGAAAAGCCCTTTGACTGCTGAGAGCCCGCTGCCGCAGGCCGGGCCGCCAAACAAGACTTCGACCGGCCTCTGGTGCCCTTAGACCCTCAAATGGAGCCCTTGATTGTCGGATCCGGGGGCCCCCTAGGTTCTTTGGGCCTCCTCGAACACTGCTTCTGGCCGACTAGGGAGTCCTTGCCAACACAGGGCCCCATTAGTGGCTATGGGACCCTGACAGACGCTGGGGCACGACCAATTTAGATCGCTGACTCCGGCTGTGTTCCTGCCTGGGAAATGAGCCCCCAGACCCATGTCACCACGGAGGCGACTTTGCCTTACTGGTGGTGTCTGACCGACATAGAAGCCCTTATCGACTCAGGGCACAGGGCCCGGTCGCTGGCATTGGAGTGCTTGACCCTGCGGGCCGGGGCCCCTGAATGCGACCTCCGGCATGATCTTCGGACCCTAAATCGTTGGTTCCGGGGGGCCCTTTGGGCCCCTCAGAATCTAAGGGAGGGGAGGGACATGTGCTCCCATCCCCCCCCCCCCAAAGCGCTACTGGTGGGAACTATGGGAGTCTGGTTTGCAATTGCATGATCGGTGCATTTGTTGTCGTCACCCCGCAGTCGTGTCCGTGTTGTTATTGCTCCGTAGTAACCATGACATGCATGGCGACGCATTGTTCTATTCTTCCCGATGAAAAACTTGCAAGGACTTTCCACTCCGCAGAAAACCTGCCGTAAACACAGTCTGGTGTTTGAACTTTTTATTAGAAACCGGAAATACAACATAATGCATACAAAACACCGCCGAGCTGGTCTGTCCCAAGTGGGCGCTGGTGGGCGCCCCCTGACCCGCCCCTCCCCAGCCGGCCCGACATCTGCCTTGCCGGGGGGACGGGGGGGGGGGAGGCGGCCCCCGGGAGGACCGCCACCGCCCTGATCGCGGCGGTGCAGCAGACGCGACCGGGCGTCGGCTGGCGACCCTCGCTAGTCCGGCTTCTGCGGAGGAGGGGCCGGGTCAGCGTCAGGACCGGGCGTGGCCGCCGCTGGCCGCGCGCCAGACAGTGGAGGCACAGCGGCCGTCGTGGCATGCGGACGGACCCGTGCATCCGACGGGCACAGCGCACTGTTCGTTGGAATGTCCGGGAATGAAAACGACATACGTAGAGTGTTGCTCATCTTGTATGTACATGTATGTGTGTGTGTGTATGTATGTATGTATGTGTGTGTATGTGTGTGTGTATGTATGTGTCTGTATGTATGTATGTATGTATGTATGTATGTATGTATGTATGTATGTATGTATGTATGTATGTATGTATGTATGTATGTATGTATGTATGTATGTATGTATGTATTTGTGCATGTATGTATTTGTGTGTGTGTTTTTTTATATAAAGTTTATGTATGTATCGCGACCAATAGCAGCAGAGTGCTGAAGACGTATGGTGGAAGCGCCACTGAAGGCTGTGTAAGTCTATAGCACGCTTTATACCAATGATTTCATACGCCAACACTAACGATATATTGTGTCCTGTTGCGATGCTGTGATGCATTACCACGCCCTGCTACCTGGTGGAGCACAAACGGGCCAGGGGCAGGGGAGCAGTAGCAACATTCCACAACGAACAAATCAGCCATAACTCCAGGCGTGGAACGGTGGAAGTTCAGTGACAGTCGGGCCTGTCTCCCCCACCGCACGTGTTCAACATTCCCGCGCGCGCCACCCGAAAGCACGCCCGAATTAAGCGCCACCCCACGTGCCTGCGTTCACGAGCTGGCACGTGCCTGCAGCTCGTGAAGGCAGCCAGCCGGCGCTCCCGTGTTATTGAGCGTCGCCCGCTGCGGCCCCCGGCACGGCCGCCGGCCAGCCGGCCTTGCTGCCGCGGCGGATTACAGAGGCCGCTCGCTCGGCGTACGTGCCCTGTCGTGTCGTGAGTGCACGGCCGCGCGATCCAGTGACAGCTGGAGTTTTCCTCCGGCCTAAAGCGGTACGTGTCTTCCTGCATGGAAGATTAGCATGAACCGCGTCAGTCGCGGCTCGAAGCGCACTGGAGTGCGGGCTGAGGCACGGGCTCAAAGGGTGGTCCGATCCACTCAGATTTGAGTGGTCGAAGCGTGCCGCAATGACTTCGTTCAGCACTGTTTGTATGGAAAAGTAGCATTGGTCGCGTGGTAGGCGAATGAGGAATCCAACTGCACGGGAATATCGGTAGAAACAAACACACGCCGAGATTTCCTCTGTTTGTGACCAGCCAACAGTAGCAGTAATTCATTTATCAAGTAATGCAAGGCATTTTGCAAAACATTATGTTTTTGGTAATCAAGGCAACATTACTTTGAGCCACTAAATTTTAGTATTAATCACAAGGCTAGAACAAAACCCTTACAAAAGCTAGGATGATGAATTATGCTAACCTCCTGCTTAGAAAGGCTAAGCCCACTCAGTCCAGCTTGACACAAGTGAATTAGCATTAACGGCGGTAAAAATGGAAATTATGAATGGCTAGTTAGACATCACTCGCAGACATTATCTGCTCAAACTAACTTAACTCGACACAATTCACCTATTTCCATTTTCTTACAGATACCGAGATACGACGCCTACTGCAGTGGGTGAAGAGCATGCTTTGTGTTTGCTGCAGCGCGACGCGGGCGCGACCTTGCGCTTGCTGCAGAATGAGACAAGACCGGCCAGGCTCGCCGCTGCGGTGAGAACCGAGCCTGACAACACTCACCGCGATCGGGGGGAGAGCCTGACCCGGTATCCGCCACCGTTGGAGGGGGATCCCTGCGGTTTGTGTGGGGATGGGGGGGGGGGAGAGCACGGCCTCTTGTTCCTGCAGCACGAGGCCGCTCTACCAGACACTCCCACAGCGGGTGACATGTCTGCCGTCGCGTCTGCCGCCGCGTCTGGAGGATCCTCTACAGTTTGTGTAGGGACAGCGGGGGGGGGGGGGGGCACGGCCTTTTTGGTACGGGGCCGTCTTACGACGCATTCCCACAGCAGATGACCAGTCTGCCGCCGCGTCTACCGGCGCGTCGGCCGCAGCGGAACGCGTCCCGTTCCCCGCGCCGGCCGCACCATCGCCCGAGCCGTACCTTGTGCTTGCTGCAGTAGGAGGTGAAGCTGCTCTCGTCCAGCTGGCATCCGGCCTCCTCGGCGCAGGGCACGTGGAAGCCCAGCCGGCAGCCCTTGCCCAGGCAGCCGACCGTGGCGCCCACGTGTCGACACACCGAACAGATCTGAGGCAGGCGTCCGGCGGAGGGGTCACGCGGCGGGCCGAGGAGTCAAACAGCGGACGGAGTCACACATCGGGAGGAGGCGTGACACAGTGGACGGAGTCACACACCGGGCGGAGGCGTGACACAGCGGACGGAGTCACACACCGGGCGGAGGCGTGACACAGTAGACGGAGTCACACACCGGGCGGAGGCGTGACACAGTGGACGGAGTCACACACCGGGCGGAGGCGTCACACAGCGACTGGAGGCATCACACAGTGTGTCACGGTCCCCTGACAGGCGAGGCGCCCTGCGATGTCACGTGACCGCAGGCGAGCCACACACGTCCTCCGTGGATCAGCCCGGCGGCGACCGGCCACTAGGTACAGCCTGTGTAACTAGACAGCTTTAACGCGACATAAGGCAGCGCCGACACGCTAAATGAGTCTCACTTAGCCCACCCCAGTCCCTGAGCTGGCCGGGATAATATATATATATATATATATATATATATATATATATATATATATATATATGAGCTGATACTCGCGCTGCGCCGTCGCCGGCGGCCGCGGGGCGGTCGTGGCCGCCGCGCCGTGACCCGGCCTGACCTCTGCGCGGCTGGCGGTGACAGCCTCCTCGACGCCCTGCACGCGGCCGGCGGCCAGCTGCAGCTGCGGGCTCCAGGCCAGGCACGACTCGTGGAACCACGTCTCCAGCCGGTCGCCCAGCCGCGCCGTCTCGAAGTGGTGCGCCGCGCCGGCGCTGGGGCCGGCGCCGGAGCCGGCCGCTGCCGCCGGGTCCGCCGCCTCCTGACGAGGGATGCTGGTATCAGGCGGGTCAGACGGGTCAGGTGGGTCAGATGGGTGGGTGGGTCAGGTGGGTCGCAGGCTGCGCCGATCCGGCCCGGCGCCTACACTGGCACCGCAATAACGTGTGTGATAGTCCTGGTGTGTGGCATGGCATCGGAGGTCCTCACAATAGCCAGCTAAACCAAGCAGCCATGCACGTTCCAAGAGCTCTGCATGATTCTTAGAACTGAGAGCACGTGCAGATTACCATTGAACCCTGCATTAGACGATTCGCACACCCCAGACAAGGGTTAGCTTTACAAGCTTACTTCCGAGGCTCTGGGGACAAAGCTAATTTTTGCATGCTGAACAATACTCAGATTCTGCCGTCATGCAATGGCCAGTTTCCAGAAAATGTGTTACGCCTCGCGTGCACATACACCTATGGAAGCGTTTCCATGTTTGCTGTCACAAAAGGAGCCCATGTCACAGCCGGGCTGGTAAGTAAAAGCAGCTCTGTCTCTTCGCAACGCTGCGACGACTCGCCGACACACGGCCCCTATATGGAAACAGACACTGTGGCAGTAGCTGTCCATAATACGCAGCTGTCCGCACCACGGGGATACCGGCCACCACTTCATGACCCCTGGACTGTTGAAATACCGGGCGGACGGCCAACATTTTCCGGCTTTCGTACGGGGCGGATCTGCAGGCTGGCCGCTGTAAATGCGCCGATTATGCGCCGATAAATGCGCCGATGCGCCGAAACAGCCGCTTCGCGTCTTATCTGACAGCCTCGGGACCGACAGTCGCGCCGCCGACACTCCGTTTTCGCCGTCCGGGTCACGGAGTGACTCGCGCTGCAGGTCAGCCCGTCACCAAAAAAACGCTGAAGCATGGCGCGCCCCTTCCACATAGCGTATGCTGAGAGAAGCGACCTCTCGCCGGGTTGTATGCCGTTTCGAATATTAGCGCCCAACCAGTTCAAAACCACACAAGCAGCACTGTCACAGGTAACCAACAGCCACGCGAACTGAATGCCGCAGATACAACACACGCACAGCAAGACACGGACCAGCGAAGCCCCAGCCAACCTCCATTCTACACTGAGCCCTTTGACCCCGCCCACCTCCACCGCCCTCCACTCGCCGGCACTTACCGGCGCCTCACGCTGGCTGCGTCGTCGCTGCCGCTGCTTGGCCGTCGTGCCGGCCGCCTCCTGGCGGCGACGCACGAAGTACGGCCCGTACAGGTCACCGAGCCGGCTGGCGTGCGTGCGCCGGCCGCAGAACACGCACGTCCACGTCGGGTCCGGCGCGAACGCGTCGTAGTTCTTGGCGTAGGCGCTGGAGAAGCCGACGCGCGGCTGGCCGGGGATCGCCTCCAGGTCGCAGGAGACGGGCGGCCGGCGCCGCGCCGCCGGCGCCTCCAGGTCACCCTGCGAGTTCACCACGCGCAAGGCGTGCGGGTCGGCGCCGCCCACCTGCAGGTAGGGGCCGCGCGGCTCAGGCCGACCGCGTCCCGCGCGGCCGCGCGCCGCCTCCGGCGCGGCGGCGGCCGCGCGCGTGCCGCGGCGCCGGGCGGCCGGGCGCCGCCGCCGGCCGCCCGCGGTAGACGGCGCCACCGGCGCGTCGGCAGACGGCGCCACCAGCGCGGGCGGGGCAGTGACGACGACGGCGGCGGTGGTCGCGAGGAGCGGGTCCGCTGGCGGATGGGGCCGGCACGTCAGCCGACGGCAGCGGCGACACCGGCGCCGGCGGCGGCGGCGGCGGAGGCGGCGGCGGGCCCTCGCCACCGGCCGCCTGCCAGCTCTTCTTGGCGCCGTCATCGTTCCAGCAGCGCCACTTGGCCTCTCCGTCCGCGTGCGACACACTGGACGGAAGCGGGGCAGGTCAGGGCGAGACGGCCACGCGGCACACCGGGCCCAACACCGCGACCGCTCAGCGGCAACAGCAGAGTCCGCCAAGGTTAACGAGATAGCCAAACCAATACCAGCACCATCATTATCGCCTGAGCACGTGATATGGCGGCGATTGAGCGACGCACACGGCATAACATATTCCAGGAGGCAAAACATGCTACGTCTGCAGCTTACAGAGTAGATTCGCGACAAAAAAAAAATCAGCTAGATCACAGCTTTCGTAGTCAAACTTTCGTATTCAACAGAACAGTTGTCAATACCGAGGTATGTAAAATAATAAAGAAAACGCTGCCGTGATTGCCACCCCGACAGCCACGGCATCAGACAACCATCACGGCGACCTCGGCGGTGACAGAAGCTGACGTCAGCGGCTACAGCAGCAGTGACAGCAGCGACGTCACCAGCTGCCTGCCGGACCGTACCCGTCCGGAATGTCGAGCGGCGGCGGCGACGAGGTCAGCATCGCGTCGCCCTCATCGACGGCGGCGGCGGCGGCGGAGGCGGCAGCGGGACCGAGCGCAGCCCCGCCATTAACGGGCCGCTCGCGGGAGGTGCGCCGCGCCGGTCCGGCCGGCTCCTCCTCCGTCACAGACCTGGGGAGGCCGGCGGGCGCGGCTCAGGCAGGGGTCACCCCTGGCGCGGCAGCCGGTCACGAGGCAGCGACGCTGGGGTGCGGGTGCTGTCCGCGGGGGCCGCGTCTGGGTCACGGTAGGAGGGACACAGGTGCAAGAGCACTGACCAAATGACAGACACAAGGGACAGGGGCGCTGATTAGGCTTCAGGGTCCCAGGAACACGGATACTATTTGGTAACAGGAGCACGGGCACTGACCTTTACGACAGGGCACGGCACACCAAAGGGAACGGCACATCAACCGACGGGTACGGTCGGACGGCACGACCACGGGTACCGGTCAGGTCACAGGCACACACGGACACCGCAGGCTCGGGCTACGTCCCCCATTTCCAACAGCTGTATACAATTTGAACCTATGACGTCAGAGGTAAGTGCGTCACAACAGGGTCCCACGGCGCAAAGGATAACTGCTTGCGTATGACGTAGACACTTGCGACGCCGCAGGCAGGTCCTTTGCCAGTGGGGAGTGCGGCCCTGAGGGCTTATGCGAGTTAAAGGGCACACACAGCTGACACCGGTGCTGGTCAGCTGACGAACACCGCATGGAGGCGTGGCTCACGTAGGCGCCGGGACATCGGTGACGACCTAACGGTGCGGATGACTGGCCCCGCCAGGAGCCAACCTGGGCCCGCCAGGAGCCCACCTGGGCCCATCAAGAGCCCACCTGGGCCCATCAGGAGCCCACCTGGGCCCGTCATAAGCCCACCTGGGGCGGTCAGGAGCCCACCTGGGCCCGCCAGGAGCCCACTTGGGCCCGCCAGGAGCCCACCTGACCCCGTCAGGAGCCTCCTAGTCCCACCAGAAGCTCACCTGGGCCCGTCAGGAGCCCACCTGAGCCCGTCACGAGCCCACCTGGACCTGTCAGGAGCCCACCTGAGCCCGTCAGGAGCCCACCTGGACCTGTCAGGAGCCCACCTGGGCCCGACAGGAGCCCACCTGACCCCGTCAGGAGCCCTCTGGTCCTGTCAGGAGCCAACCTGGGCCCGCCAGGCCGCTGCGGGTTTGGTCAGCACCCCGCGACCAACAGCATGACCGGCGTGGCAGCCTGGCCCACGCAGCACGCTGGTGCCAGGCGTGGAGGAGAGCACGGGGTTAAGCATGCGGACGACACAGCGGCTGACCGTTTGTCCCGGTAGTGTTTGGGTCAGGCTGTGGGGAAGAGCATGCACATGGTCGTCCGTCATCACCAAGACAGCGCGGCGAAACACGCCGCACAGCTTTGACGTCATGACTCGTCACATATAAACAGCCGGCACGTGCGCGGCATTGATGACGTCATCGCGCCGCGCCATGCCAGCGTCTGACCGGCGCCGTGCTGAACCAGAACCGGCCGGGTCACACGGCTGGACAAACTATGGCGGGTGCACGAAGCGCAGAAGACCACCAGAACACGGTGGGTACAACCCAGAACAGACCACAGTGGACGATGTGGACCGGACAGTGGCGAATAAGCCATGGAACGGACCATGGTGGACAAAACGCTGGCCACACCGCAGCATTCCAAATTCATCCGGCAGGGTGTGCAGAACGTACATATAAATTCACGCAGTCAGAAACCTCGCTCTCCTGTGACCCTGCACACAATTCGCTGTTGTTGTCGTAGGGGCTTTACGATGCACCCAGCTGCTGAGGCTATGTGGCGTCGCTTACCTTTCACTCTGGCAGAGAGCGCACGTCCCACGGGGAATCGAACCCTGCACCCGTGGTTTCCCAGGCGCCTAATGGTTACCGCGGACAAGTTAACCACTACACTACCGGCACACAGCCTGCGATGTGTTGCCCTTTGGCCCAGACCCTAGGCATCTGACATGCCCGGCCCATTCGGCAAGCCTGAGACGCCTTGATGCTGGGTTGACCGCCGCCCAGTTGGACGCTTACTGGTCAATGTTGAGCAAGAGGAGGGGCAACAGCCAGAGAACCCCCAGTTGGAGGTGTAATACCATGCAATTTTTTTGACATCCCTGCCACCCAAGAAGCCAAACATCGAAACTCTGCCAAACCACGGCGGGTCAACGGAGGGTCAACTGGCGGGTCAACTGCAGACCCGACCGTGGCGACCTTATTGTTGACCTGCCAACACCACACGAGCTGCACAGCACCGACTACAGCACGGACAGCCGCCCACATGCCGGAGCGCGGCGGCAGGGGCGGTGGCGAACCATCGGCCTGGAGCACGCCCTGGCGGCCGCCCACCTGAGCCGACCTGATTCGCTCACCGGAGTCGACCTGAGCCACTCACCTGGGCCGACCTGAGTCGCTTACCAAGTTGACCTGAGTCGCTTACCTGAGTCGACCGCGGGTCTTGGTGGGTGACACGCCGAACGGCTCCTTCATGTTGATGCTCAAATCGCCCACCGTCCGCTTCTTTCGCGGCGAGTGCGCCCTGCCGTGGCCGTTCGCCACACCCCTAGTTCTCGCCGCGGCCGCCGAGCGGCGTTTTACCACGGCCCGCCTCGCCACGAAGCCAGTGGCCGGCCGGCGTCGTCGGCGGCGCCTGCCGCCCCTGCCCGGCTTCGCCGACGCGCCGGCCGACGCCGACGTCCCGCTGGCCTCCCCGGCACTGGCCGCCGCTGCGCGCGGCTTCACTGGCGACGCACTCGCCGGCGACGGCGCCACCGCCGCGTCATCCGCGGCGCCTCCCGCCTCGGCCACCGACGCGCGCCGCCGGCCGCGGCGTCCGGTCGCCTCACCGTCCGTAGCCGACGGTCCAGCAACGGCGGCCACCGCCTCCTCCGCCGGCGGCGGCGGTGCCGGCGGGCCGGACAGCCGCGCCGCCGCCGCCGCCGCCGCCGCCGCTGTTGCTGCCGCCGCTGCCGCCGCCGCCGCCGTAGCCGGCGCCGGGCCCTTGGTCACCACCTTGAGGCGGCGCTTGGCGCGCGGCGCGGCGCCGGCCGGCCCGGCCGCGCGCGCCCGCTTGTGCTGCGCGATCAGTCGCGTCGGTGAGTCCGTCAGCTTGCGCTTGGGGCTGGGCTGCTTGCGCCGGTGCGCCGACGCCGCCCTGGCGTCCTCGCCGAGCGGCGGCAGCGGCGGCGGCGGCGGCGGCGGCGGCGCCACGATCATAGGCTCGGCGGCGGCCGAGCGCACCACCAGCTCCTGCTTGCGCCGGCTCTTGGAGGGAGAGTCGAGCGCGGCGCCGTTGGTGAGCTCGCCGGCAGGCGGCGCCGGGTCGGAAGCTGGCACGGGCGGCGCGTCGGCCGGCTCAGGCACGGCCGCCATCGCCGCACAGCCGGCAGAGTCTGAGGGCGAACCAAGACAGCGGTTAGTGGCCTGAGTGCAGCATGTGATGCGGCGAGGTCCCGCGGCGTTCGTCACCAGAGTTTGTGCGCGGTCGTGGAGGAACACACGGAACCGTACTCATCGGGGCCGCCTACACCGTTTACAAAACTGGTAAGCAGCGGCAGATCCAGAAGAGGGCAGCCGGGTCATCCCCTTCTCAACGTGTGTGGTCAGGTTAACCATCGCACATTTGGTTCATGAACAACGACTGTTTTAGAACTCATTGTGTTAAAAGGACGCAAAATTCGATTACCATGTGAAAAGCACAATAGCTTTGTGACCTGTGACCAGACAAAGCAGCGCCCCCTCTCCTCTCCCCTCCCCCCCCCCCAAGGACGGCGCTGGGTCTACCCGCGTTGGTAGATGGACGAGTTCACCTTATGATTTAACTGGAACGGAGACAGGGGTTATTGTAAGGAAAGCTGGGATAAATACGGAATTGAAATCAGAGGCCAAACACAGTATGCACACTTTTCGGATGTTTTCTCAGCAAATTTGGGATGCACACAAATGAAGGTCAAAATCTCATAAGGGAAATGTCACCGAAACACCGACGCGTGCACTTACGACTTGATTGAACAAATGGTATGAGGCAGTGGATGCTACGCGCGCCATGATCGTCTCCTTGGCGTCAAACATGTCTGGATACTTTGCCTCCCCGCGTAGCAATTAAATTTTACTTGACCTAAAATTCCCCGCTCAAGTATGTTTACGAGATTCTTTATTGGCGATGGCAAGGATGAACAATGAGTAACTAACCATGGGCCAGCTACCATTGATAACCCGCCTCACCTTTCAAACCTTATAAGAAAATCTCCGGTGAAATCTGAAAGCAGGTTAAGCAAGACGAGCCTGCTTTGTGAACACACCACGTCCCGCTTTAAGACAACGGCACTCTTTCCGTCGCAGACAGTGCATCGGCACATTCCATATAATATAACTTAAATGTCACATCCTAGCTCAATTATGCACGTTTAGCGTAGACATGCTTTACGACCCGCCCCTCCACTCGGCCGGTTAGCTCAGTTGGTTAGAGCGTCGTGCTAATAACGCGAATGTCATGGGTTCGACCCCCATACTGGCCAGAGTTTTCCTCCTCGAACAGGAACACAGATTTTCAGCCTCCATTTACTTGACACCGCATGCTGCCCCCTTCTAACGTCTCACGACACGTCTCGCTTCTCACGTCTCACCTGTGTGGACGTCAGGCGCAGGCGTGCATACCGCCACGAGCGGGGCTGCCGGCTGGACGTCCACATTCAATTGGACGTCCATACCGGCTCTGAGCAGCAGGAGCCTACGGGCGGGGACGCTTGATGTCAAGGATGATACATATGTTTATACATATGCTTAAAAATTCGGCCTGCGGCACACTTAACCTGGTTTTCATTTCTAAGTTTCCTCACCCCCGACCGCAAAATCCTGCGAGGGTCCATGTTTCACAAACCTGCATTAGGTTCGCGAAGAAGCAGTAGAAATGTGTAACAACAAAATTGTCTTCACGAACATATGATTTATAGATGGAAACCTGCGCACACATGCGAACGACAAAAACACCATCTTTTAAAAGCTGTCGAATCTTGCAGCGCATCTTTTTGTCCCAATCCGGGCGTCCAATCTGTCAATAGTTACAGACTGGCCTAACATATAAAGAAATTGAAATGACAAAAAAATATAGGGTACCTGCAGGACAGTATGTGGCACGAAATTACTTGATTTAAAAGTCGTGAAACTCGTAGTGACGTCTGAAAAATCCAATGTCGATAGCAAAAATAAGATCAAGAACATGCAATGTGCTTTTACGTCACACAAGTTGTCCAAGCGCGCGCTAGACGCTGGCTTGCAAAACTAACGGCGCTTTTTTGCTGTTATCTCGTCAAAATACCTGCAAGTATTCAAACCCAAGTAATGCATAACATTTGAGCCTCGTTTCAACCCAATTGTCGTGTGGATACAGCAATGAAATACAGAATCCGGAACAAAGCGAACCTGCCACAAAATATACTGACAAGTGGCACCACATTCCTAAACATTCTGATAAATGTTGCAATTAAAACAATTACGGTCCAGTGAAAAACACACATGCCATATGCATCGACGACAGCTAAAATAATAAGTCAGACTCAGACTGCATAAGCATTATCATGACACATTACCAAACCTTTAGCAAGCTTTGGTTTGGGATGCAGCGATGTTCAGGACTCAAAGTCGTTTCACTGCCTGTGCAGCTTCTTCTGAAGATTGTTATTACGTCATTGATTTCACAGGTTGCAAAAACAATACACATAATTCAGCAGAAGCTGACATAGCGATCTATATCATGCAATAACTAGTGTTTCACCACACGAGTTAAAGTAAAATCGTAAAGACACCACAAGTTCATTGCCTTGTGACAAAGGCACCACCAAGGCATGAGTGGCGTATGAACGCCTGATAGTATTCGCATTCCAGAATGACACATGTATGTCCAGAAGACTGAGCAAAAGTCGTAACACTTCCGCTCTGCCTAGTTTTTTAGTTTCCTTTTGCCTTATTGTAAACGCGTGTTGCCTTGTCTGCCAACTGGCAGATCATGATCTTGGTGGTTGGAAAATAGTCCCGAAAAAGTTCAGGCCCTCGTAGATGCAATAATGCATGATTAATGCAACCCGAAACATGAATCGCAGGCTGGTATATGCCACAGTTGAATCAAGGTTCGCTGTTAGTGGGAACACTATTAACTTCACACGCTCATTTCAATGCAAGGAGCATAGTATTTATTGTCACCCACTGAAGCGTGAATAACAACACTAGCATTGGCACAGACGTTATTTGTAGATTAAAGATATCAACATGAATGGCTACATTCCACACCACTTGTTTGCAACCAGGTTTCCATAACTTTTGCCAAGTGGAGGTCATTGCTGTCTACCGACAAAGTAGATTAACGAACCGCAGGCCGTCCAATCACAAGAATCAGTTTGAGGACTTAATCATATCAGGTCCTATTACGTCTAGAACGTGGACGCTCCCTCACGTTGTCCTCTCGCCTCTATCATTTATGATTATGTCTACCAAGGCCAGCTGCCTGTCGTGGTTGGTAATTGTATATTGTTGTTGAGTATCTTTGACCTGCATGACCACGTAGATGAGGCACCATATTTTTCGCATTAGCCATAACCGTTAATATACACACCTGCCGCCGCTTCATAACACACGCGCTCCATCACCAACGCGTGCGTGAAAAAACTTATAGTTGCTAAAACTTGCATCTTGCACGAGCAAAATTCAAGGCAAAAACAAAGAACAATGAAGCAACTAACTGACGACGGACAAAACACGACGATTAGGCTCCAAAACGCAGGGATTTAAAACATATGAATTTGTTTGCCATCATTTTATTTAAAATGTATCACGTGCCAGCGTTTGGCCGCGTGCAGTGATCCTTGCCACACTGGATCAGTCCTCTCCCTGTTTTAATCATGCCACAGGGAAATGTGAAAGCAGCTTGTTTGTTCAGCCAAGTGGAACTCCCGACAGAGTGACACACATAGCATTACAACAGGACACCGCACCCAAAAACAGTAGGTATTGAATACGGCTGTTCCATTATTTCGAAAGAATAGTCTGAGCGAGTGGCGTGCTGGTACAACAGTGGTATCAAAAATCTTACCTCCGAAAAGTCAGCGCAGTCCAATGAGTGCAAAAATATTCCAGTTCCCTCCCCCCAAAAAAACGGGGGACCTATAAACAAACCCGAATGCCATGTACGTGAGTCAACACCAGTGCCATCTGTGCACTTCGGTTATCGGTGAGTGTGTACCCATATATATGAAACCGCTGGACACAGCCAGAGATCGGGGCGTGGGCTGACCTTCCCTGGACGTCTAGCATTTATTTGAATTGTCCTGCATGTCTACCACATACTTCGGGCTCTGCAAGCATGCCGGGTCTAGCTGCTTTGAGGAGAGATCCCCAGCCCAGCATTGAATACGCTAACAGTCCCAATACGCTTTTGAAGAGCACTGCGGCATCTCGAAGTCTCCAGTCCAAGCGAGCAGTGTGGCCTTCACAAGGTCTCCGGGTACTCCGAGATAGCTTTGAGCCTCCACGCACGTCTCCTAGTTCATTTACAGCCGCCAGATGGCAAGCAGACCACGTGCACGTCTCGCCAAACACTCTCTCGGCGGCGCGCAAAGGCGCTGGCGGCTGGGCGATATCTTATCTCTGTGAGACTGAGACAATACCCTTCCGACCGGCCGGCCGGCCGGCTAGCCACCGCCTCGACCCGCGGAGGACCGCCGCGCCGGGCCACGGAGCCGGCGCGCGCTGCACCGCACCTGTACTGCAGTCGGCCACGGAGGCGGAACGCCGGGTCGGGCTCGGCCAACTGCCACCGGGGGCTGGGGACCTGTGACCGGCGCGCACGCGCCAGCAGCCCGTGGACGCACGCCGCCTCTGGCACCGAGAGCGCGCCCCGCGACACGCACCCACACACACACACACGCAGGACACCGACACGGACGCCGGGCGGTGGCGGCGGCGGCGGCGGCGGCGCTAAGCACGCGGCGGCGAGCGAGCGGCGCCCGCACCCCTCCGGAGCCAGCTGCCTGCGCCGGCCGGCATCGATCAGCTGACTGTGACGTCACCCGGAGGTCGGCGCGCGCCCGCGGGCACGTGCCGCGTCGGGCCGCGCGGCAGCCGCGCCAGTGGCGGCGCGGTCGGCGACGGAAGGGGGCGCGCGGCCCCGCGCGCGAGGGCGGGCCGGCGGGCGGCCGGAGGCTTGCGAAAGGGAGACCGGTTTGGCGGGGGCGACCCAGCTGAAAGAACTGGACGCTTCTTCAGAGAGAGCGGGGGACGCGTGTCCATCGCATGGGCTTCGAGGTGTGGGGTGTGGCTGATCTCGCCGCTGCGCGAGTCTGGCGTATAACCACACACCGCGGAGCCGGCACGCACGCTCCGGGACGGCTGAGCCGTGCGCACACTGCACTGTGCGGCTGCCGCCCTGTCGTACTCTGGACGGGGGGGGGGGGGGAGCTGCAGGGTCAGTGGTGGCTCCAGAAATTGCCTTGGCGTGACGATGGGAGTCGGACGAGACACTGTGGAGCCCGTTCACGTCGCCGTTACGTTTTACACTTACGTCATATGTCGTTACATTTTTTATTATTAATTTCATCCCCTCATCACCTTGGCACTGGTTACGTTTCCCCCCTCCCCACCCCACCCCCACTCCCTTCCCTGGTTGTGCTGCCTTGATCACAAAATCCCAAAGAATTAACGCCCGTTTGGTCGGCCCCTACTTCAGCAAGAGAAGCGAAAAAAAAATAGGGAGCATGTTTTGGGTCATGAGACCCCTAATGCCAGGGTGAGAAGCAGAGAGGCGCCATGTATCCTAAGCAGCTGAGTTCGTCGTACAGCCCAAATGGCATACCTGCACTGCTCATGAGAGAAATTGAACGAATCCGGTTTTCAGATGCTTAATTGTTTTCAAGGATTTTAGCGTGCCTTCCACACATACCTAAGTGTAATGTTCCCAATAACGGAAAAAGGAACAGCCACAACCGACCGATATAAGTTTTTGCACTGAAGATCGTCACTCTCCAGTTACATAGAGGTGTAACTATATATACTTTTGGGTACCTGAGCCTCTCCCAAATGCTGACTTGAGCCCCCCCCCCCCCCCCCACACACACAAATAAATATGGCAAAAACAAGAAAGCTGGACCAGTGACATGCAGACAATTTTCCAGAAATGTTGTTGCACTAGATAGGTACGAACCTAGCTGACGACACCACTATAAGTTTCATATAAAATGGACTGTTCCACATTTGAAGATATTGACGCAAGCATCAGATATGATGAAATAAGCTCACTTAAACTCTTTCTAAATGTGATTGATTTCTTAATTCATTTCTCATTCATTCACTTTTTCATCCAACTCATTCATTTCATTCATTTCTATTATTGATTTCTGTGACTGATTTCTATTCTTTCCAGATTATGATTGTGTCCCTCAATACGTCATTGTTACATCACGTCATCGTAGCTTACACATTGATTGAGAGTCCATTGCCAGCCGTGCATCTGGCAATCGTGCTCAAGCAAACCGCATATGAACGACTCGATAATTATATCCTTCTTGACTTGGTCGCTGCATGGCCAACTGAACGACGGGATTTGAGTGACTTTATTGCGGCGCCACGGTTGCCTGGGTGACCACGGAAGTCTCCCCGAAATAGTGGGCACATCCTCGCTGGCGTGTGGCTCAGAAACTAGAGGGGTTTAGGTCTTAGGGCAGGGATATGAGCTGCACCCAATGATCTTCAAGATGGCTGTTGCAGTTCAAAACCCCACACAAATGTGCGCTCCCTTTAATGTTGTGCCACGTTGCATCCTGCTTACCTTACATGCTTTTCATTCCAACTCTTTTATGACCTAGGGCAGTCTGAAACTATTGGCAAATTTTCCACGCCATAACACGTCCCAAACATTCGGGACACAAAAAATGCACTGCGATATTTGACAGCTGTTAAGTGAGCAGTGCGAGGCGTTTCATACATAATTTGTCTGCCTCACCCTTCTACTGCTTCTTTGAGAACCTGACGTATTGTTCAACAGGGGCGTACGCAAGATTGTACAATCGGGGGAAGGGGGGGGGGGGGTACAATTCACAACTGAAAACTAAGTGCCGCAGGCCGACCAAAAAAGGCTTGAAATCAAGAGCGTAAATACAAGTGGCCGAAATCCGGGCAAATATCCGGTGTTGGCGGTAGGCTACGTCATCCTTCCCAGCTGAGCCCCTACCATGTTTGAAAAAGTACACTCCTGCTCCGGTCCATTAGGATGCGCTGGTCGAGCGAGCTTCACGCAACCACGGAATATATTGTGAAAATTATCAAACCTTCCAGCCTTGCTCAAGTTCACGGGAGACTGGGGTCAGTTATTTCCAATGCAAAACTCAAATCTAAAAAAGAGCATAACAGCATTGTTCTTGATATCAGCTGACTGATTGATATGCCATGAGCCAAGCCACAGTCCCAACCCCTGACATACAAATCATTGTAGAACATCCTGCCGCATGCATAATTTCACGGAAGCAATATCAAAACAATGAATTGTTAAATTTTAAATCAAGCACGTAATCGTACCCCGCTGATGGCGGCCCCAACCAGAACAAACGTTCCGTCGATGTGACAAACGGCATGCATAAAATAGAGATGAGTGAACAGCACAGCACCTCAAAGGTCCTCTAACATGTCTTTGCATATATGTACCAGTTGCATCAGTTCGCAAGAACCGCTCTGCACCAAGCTTTCTTCCGACCCGGTATTTCAACTTGCAAGTTTGAGCGGAGTCCTTAAGTAAGCATTACGAAGCAGCGATCATAAAAATAAATGTTATTGTTTTGCAAGTCTTGGTGCCCCCAAAAGTAATAGCAAACGGTTAGGCTAGCCCACACGTTTCCATCGAAATTCGGCAGCCCGTCAGGATTTGTTGGGCACGGTTGCTTGCCAACAACTAGAGAGACCGTAATTCTATCATTGGACAGAAATCCGCACAGCTATTCCGCTACTGTTTCGATAAAGACATGTCGACGAAATATCGACCCATCTTTACCTCCATTCCCCTTGTTCTTCTCCGAGGAATAAGGCCATTACTGCTGTCTTATCTATGTGAATAATGTTCGCCCCAAATGCACTTAACAACTGGAGTGATTCTCGAACTGGTATCATTTCCGCAGGTGTGGAAAACATACAGGCCGATGGGTTTCAAGTGTGCGGTACCTCAACAGGCATCATATTCCTAAAATGGCGTGGTACCTCAGCACCACACGAGTGTACTAGATTACCACAGACTTTGGGGGCTCCTAGCCTATTTAAGCGATCCATGTTCACCTCGGGGGCACCCTGACCTTTCCACAGCACCCCAACAGTACCTGGTGGGCCCCTGGACGTTTTCGGAGGTCAGTGACTGTGGGCTGCTGCCCACCGCGAGGTCCCTGTACGAGTCGGAAAACAGAAGCCACACAATACACGAGATTGCAAGGCCTCGCCCCCCTCCCACCTCCCCCAACGGTCTACTTGACCAGTAGCTCGTCCATTAAAAATCGTATAAATCCCAACCCTTTGCGTGACAAACTTTTATCTAACTTAGATCTTCATTGCCAATTATTTGAATTAAGGACCATGCCCACGCATTCCAGTTTGTTCATTTTTCTCCCAGTAAGAGCTTTGTCATCTACAGCCTATAAATAGTTTCAATCACAAACCTCGTGTGTTTCTGTCTATAAGTGAATCTTCTTAACTGTCAAGCAGTCCTTGGAATTGGTAACAGCACGTTATTTACCTAATCACCCATCAACCCAGAGAAAATGAATTTTCAAATGACACTGAAACCGACTAGACCAGGCCTCCTACACCACAATCCTGACCGCACGCATTTTCAACAAAAAGTAGTTGGATAGCACGTGGCCATGTTTCCAATATGTTATGTTGATAAACATTTGAACTGCCGCATGTGTACTTGATTATACGCACCGCTGGCAGAAGACAAGACAGTAAGATGCCCTTATTGATACTCTCCCATTAGTGAGCAAACTAAACAAGCTAAACAGAGTTTATTACTATGATATTAAATAACCCAATAAATAAGACACAGGCAAGCAAAGTTGATGTGATAATTGTTGCTACTTTAAAACGTTTTAGAACATTAAGAGCATTGTTGCGAAAATGTCAAAATGGATAACATCACAATATAATCCTCAAACCAGTAAGGACCGTCCACCAGGCACACCTCTAGAACAACTTGGTTTTATCACAATTGTCGATCCTTTTAAAGTTTTGCTGAAGCTTTGAAGAGGCGGTTTGTTGAAGATAATTACCACTGAACATGCAACAGCTTAATCCATGCACACATTGCTCCTGATATCAGTGATGTCTTGGCCTTGAATTCATGTTGATAACAATTTAAATGATGCTCAAAAATAAGCAAAAGATGGGAAAATGGGGGAAATGGCGAAACCATGCATATGGCATTACGGCGGATAGCTGGCATCATGCCAGGATGCTTTCCGTCCATGCGATAATACGAGGTTCCTCAAAACAGCACGCAATTTTATCAAGGTAACTTCATTCTCAATGTAGGCCTATGTGCTGGTCGATGTACAAGATATTTACTTTTGTATAGGCTTTTGCAGTTTTGGATCGTGTTCACATTAACGTAAGGGCCTGAAGCCAACATTCAAACCTTGAATATGTTAGAGTTTAAATGACATATTTCCAGTAATATACCCTATGTGACGTGGAACGAGCGGTGAAATAACAGATGTAGGAGTCTGGAGTTGTCAGTTGTGAAAGTTGTGAAAGTCTAGAGTTGTTGTAAATGTCAAAGTCAGGAGAGCCTAGAATTGCCGTCAATTGTCAGAGCTGTGAGAGTCTAGAGTCCCTGTCAGTTGTGAGAGTTGGCAGCTGTTTTGTAGATAATACGAAAGCAAAGCTAATGAAACCAGAGGCCTTTGGCAACCGACGCGAACGGCCTCCGTCAATGTGTTCGAAATCTGCGTTTCGTGAAAATTAAACAAGCGGAGGAAGTAGAAAATGACCTGCCTCGTGACAAATAAAAAGATAAGAATATTGATACTGATAAGATACTGATAAAGCACGCAGATGTGGAAACATGCAGAACCGTCGAAAATAACCTCACGAACAGTTATGACTCGAGTCAAATGAAGTTTTCACGAAATAAATTGTCACGCAAATTTCGCGTAAACGCACAAGTGGTTAAAAGCAAGGCATCATCTGCTCTCTGTCGTGCCCTAAACAAGCCTTAAAATCACCCCCCTCCCCAAAAAGGGCAGCACAATACTGCGTACGCTGCAAAATAACAAGACGGCGTAGCTCACCTGTCGATCGGAAACCGGGCGTCACAGCACAAATAAGATTATGAACACGATGCCAACTTCCTAGACGCTGGCGACCGGTCTACAGAGCACCGACCCGTGGTCACATGGCTACGAAGGCAACTCCGAGCCTTAACTGGAGATCTTTCACCCGACTGAAGGTCATCACAGTCCGCAGCGAATAGTCCCCAGGTCCTGCAGTGCCGACCAAATTAAGAGGTGGTCACTCGAATGCTAGGGGCTCAGCGTTCATTCTAGTAAATCTGTTATTTCCGCGATGCGCAATCCCGAAGCGCGCAAAATGTTGGGGTGACTGTGTGGCAACGGCAGCCAGAACTGGCATCTTACAATGGGACATACAATGGATGACTTGACGACCTCAAGACTTCAAAGGCATTTGACATGGCCGTCCCCGAACACTGAATTGTCGTGCCGCATTATCGACATCACCCAGCCTTGGCCACGTGTGCGGCTGCCAAGCAATGCGCTCGACCCCGACCGATGTCGACCGATGCATCGGTGAAGAGCCCACATATGCCACATCGGCTAGGAAAGTCGAATCATTGCGTATATCATGGACAGCGCTCGAATCCACGTGAGTCGGTTATCCGTGTCGCCACGCCGGGCATTTCCATTTAGCCAATATCAATCTTATCTTGCTTCACAGAGCCAGTTTGATCACCTATGATAGGGGCTGCGTGCCATCTCCAACGTAACAGCTTAATAGCAGCGCAGGAGGCAGTCATGACCGTATCCAATGCAGCATTTTGTGAAGGGCCAGCATCCGTTTGGGGAGGGAGTAAGTTCCAACTTGGATGTCATTAGCAATAAGATCAAGCAAACAGCGCAAACTTGAGCTTTTCACCCCTAAAAGATTTAGCCATGGCCCGTGTCCCCTACTACACTCGGATCAGCCTTCAGAGGCATTTCGTCAAACACGACTCTGAATAACGAGGACGTTGCGTAAGGAACGATGGCCTAACGGGGGGGGGGGGGGGGGGGGGGCAACACGGTGATTGGTCGAGTCCTTACACCCATGTCCGAGCAATCCGACGTCAATGCCGGGCAAACATCCACGCCACGCATGGCGCCTTTCCCATCATGTCACGACGCATCGATACGGCACAGCCTCAAAAACAACTGCCTCCAAAGACGTTCACGTGAAGCAATCCATACATTTTGCAATGTGTCCTCGTTACCAATCGACACAAGCACTTCCAACCGACTTACCTGCCTAAGCCTGGCGAATATCTGTAATAGTCACACCCAACTTCCTCCAACAAAGCACGGTGAAAGTCTCTTCAGCCGTCGAGCAAACACGACATTTGCCCCAGCCCGCGGTAGGCCGATACGGCGATGCCCACGCTTCCCGACGCCGCAGCGACTGTACGCGTCAGCGCCGAGACATCCAAGGTTATGTGCCCGAGTGCGGTGCCAGTTTCTGTCGACGCCGACGATAGAAGTGCCGCCAGAGACTTGATCCAATTATTGGTCACAGGATCACAACTGAAATCACTTCGTCAATAATATATGCCAAACGATATATGCACCGCGCAAACACTAGGCCACCACAAATCGCACACGGCCTCGCCTCCGCCGGACGAGACTTTGCCCGTCGTGTTTAATTCACCCACAAGCAATAGATGGCAGCAGCGAACGGGACGACCAATTCACTTGTCGGCTGGCTGCCGTGCGTGCCCTTTAAAATTTGCTCTAGAGTATCGTGATTCGTTCGTGAGGCATAAGCTGAGTCTGTCGAGTTACCGTCATGTCGTTGCAGAACATGACGGGACAAAATCAAACAAAGGATCTTCGGTTCCCATCGAGGCGCGCAAACGCAACAATTTAATGACTACAGTTCCGGCTTGTCTAAGTCATTAATGGCGCATTGTCATCTGTCTTCTGGCTCATGCGGTAAAACGCGTGAAGCTCAATAGAAGGCGCGTGAGCGGGTCGGGCGTGGCGATAATTGGTGGACCTAGAACAACCAAAGGAAGAACCGTTGGAGCCGTGGTCCGTTCGAGATTTCGGAAGGTGGTACCTTAGCAGCTGTCAGTGGGTGAAGTGTGGGTTAAGTGGTTGTGGTTTAGGGGCAATCCTGACGTTCTTCCAGGGTGATCTAATGGTTTGGAAGCCTGGTTCTAGCAGCTTGTGTAACCTGGCTCACCAGTTCTTATGAGGATTAAATATTGAAGTCATGTACAGGTTTTGCCTCATGTCTTTGTGCAGACTTTAGGCACTTGCCTACAGTCTACACAGGTATAGACTTTGAGCACTTCTCTGCAGTCCACAAAGAGGCTTAGTTGAACAAGATAAGTTGGGAGGATGCCTGTGTGGGGAAAATGGCTAAACCTTCCTCTGGGACATGTACAGATAGTTATCATCAAATTTGGCACAGTTTCTCCCCAAAGTAAGCAGAAAGCCAGAGCCTCCAATTGGGTAGGAGACTACATGTCTGGTTTTACATGTTCTGGTATTACATCTGTTGGTTTCTATGATGCATGTTCATCATCCTGAAGATCCCTGGACCCAATGCCTAGTTATTTCGATGGGTTGATATGGAGATAGGTCAAAGTCTGGGAATCCATGTGCATATGTATCATGTAATATGCCTATATGTACTGTTGCATCATAATTGTGCAAGAAAAAGTAGACTGAATCATAGCCAGCCCGAAGAGCAAGCAAGTTATCTGTACCCTTACTGGTGTGCTCGCATATGGTCATGGTTGGAGTAGTTTTCAACTTATTACATGTGAGATGCATGTTCCTCATTATTGCCCTTCATAATTCCACTTCACAAGTGATTTGATTAGAAGCTTGGTCCTGGACCTAAGCCCAGAGGCTGCATTTGCAATGCTGTGTGTTGTGCAAAGTTCTGCAGTCACCAAAGTTGTATGAGTTGTATTTCGGGGTATGCATGATTTGAAACATAGGTGCCTGTAATGGCACTCTTGTGCATGACAGTTGTTAGTTTTTCAAAGGATTGATAATTAGCTGTTTTGCTGACTGAAGAGTCATGCTGACAAGCACCCCCTGCTTGCAGCAGAAAAAACAAGGATGTAATCCCAGAGCACTTGCTTGGCCAGAATGGCCCTCACCTTTCTCAGTGTGTCTCAGCAGCATAGGACAGCAGGGTGCTCTGACCAAGCTGCAGTCACTTAAATGTCACTGTACTGCAGGCAACTGTGGGACCCTCTCACATGGTCCGATTTCAGGAGATCCACGTGTTCCAGTCATATATTATGGTGAACAAAACACAAACAATTTCACAACAGATAAAGCTGACTCGCCATCAGCCGGGACCACGCCATCATACCAAGCACGCTCGTGTCACGTTATTGTAAACCGTCTCCCGTGGCGCTGCACCGCCCAGTCCACACCACATCATTCAGCGGCTGGTATGCATCGGCCCGCCGGCCGCGATGAGCTGGGACGAGGAGGACGCAGCCGGACGGGCTGCGACGAGGAGAACGCAGCCCGGACGAGCTGCGACCAGGAGGACGAGGCGGGCTCGGCCGCGTCGGCTCGGCTCTGTAATGGAATAGCGGCAGGGTCGTCTGATCGCCGGATTTAGCGTTGCCCGCACATCTTCCGCAACATCTCACTCGACCGGTGTCGTGTCGTGCGGAGCGTCTTCGCGGTTGTTAAGGGCGGCGACTATGATTTCTCGCTTACAATGAACGCGGACGTACGTGTTGAACGGATGACGGCAGTGGCGGAGTCGACATGATTTAGTAGACACGATTTTTAGATTGGCCTGGCATGATCAGATGCACGCGTAGGCATACAAGCTTCCAACCGCACAGGGTCCACACAAACTACGATAAACGCGAGACCCCTACGGAATATCACACCAATATCAGGTAGATTCTGAATGGAGTTGAAATTCCACATTGAGTTCCAATTTCCAATTCCAAGTCCGAAATTCCAGTTCCACCTACTTTGACAGTCGGAACGCCATCGCCTACGACAGCTAATAGCGCGATGCATTTAATTGCGCGATTGAAACAACAGATCATGTAGTAATACAAATGCTCCAAAGGATGTAGAGTATCATCACATTTTACACTGGGGACTTAGTCAGCAGGACTGCTGAGGTGTGTCATCTACGTAGGCGGATCCTGGGGAGGGGGGGGGGGACACGGGGCCATTGCCCCCCAAAACCTCAGAGTATGTTTTGGCCCCCCCAAAACATTCCCAAAACTTCATAAAAGTTTCGTCTACTTACCATCTGTTTTGACTTTAACTGTTTTAACTGTTTTGTTTTAACTTCCGTTTAAGATTCGAAAGCATTTCGGTGTTTTTTTCAGTTTTGAATGGTGTCCCTACTAGGTGCTCGCGAGAAGCACCGTGCACTGGACCTCGGATCGCACACCAGCAAGCTCGCGACGAACGGTTGCCCCCCCCCCCCCTCCCCCCCCCCCAAAACTCCAGGCTAGATCCGCCCCTGGTCATCTACGGTCTAATATATCACAGTATTTGACAGCAAGCGTGGTAATAAAGACAAAAACTGGGACACTGTGTGCGGGCTTTAATTTCACGCAGGGCAATGGGACCAACCAAAGGGTAGTGTTGTATTTGAGTGCACGGTAAGTTGCAGCTGCTTTCATTGACGGCCGCAACTAGAAGAACAGATGTCTGAAAGGCCCAACAAATAAACCGTGGTGCCCTGCGGCGAGCGGGGCTTTGGTGCTGGCGAGATGCGAACACACGCCATGCATGAAACCTTAGTATACGTAAGAGTCGTCGAACCTTTATGACAAAGACGGTCCATGCCAGTCGAACTACGCTGTTGCAATCCGTCAACGGCCCGGTAGCTCAGTGGCCAGGACGCAGATATACGGCAATTTGTGTTCGGAGATCATACTGGTCCAGATCCCATCAACGGCGGTTACGCCATTTGTCTACGGTCGGCTGCCAACTGACCGAAAGACATGCGGATGCGCAATGGTCGCCTCGTGGCTTTACCGATCACGTTAATGGTTGCAAAAGGAAACTCCGATTGCACAGCGATGCCCGGATGCCATTCGGTTCAGTTCCTCTTAAAGACTTCGGGATTCATGTCATTCGTTGTAAAAACATTCTGGTCGCCGGTCGACCATGCGATTTTTTTCGACCAGCCCTGGTAAAAATGGAAGTTGGTTCTTTTTGTGAGGTGCAAAATTCAGGAAACTAAACGAAAACTGGACTTCCAGTCTGAATATGAAACGCTCATAGCGACCCTTACGAGCGCGTCCGTTTTTTAGCCCCCAAATTTAGACCGGTACCCTGATACCTTCTCCTTTGATAAAATGGATCCTGAGCAGCATTATTTGTCGCGATGGACTGCTTCCTGTCCACCAGTTAATGCATTTTGTGTAGACCAGTTAATCATTTTGTGTAGACCAGTTAATGCATTTTGAGTATCTAGTTCATGTATTTTGTTTACACCAGTTAATGCATAATGGATTTGCAATTTCATTCACCGTGATTGAATGGTTATCTGGCGTTTAGCCTGGCGGGATGTCCATGTGGCCCTCAAGCCCGTCATTGACGTCTATTTGTTCGGCATTTTCGAAAAAGATGTCCACACATGCGCTTTGAGTTACGTTGTAGCTTAAAAACCGCATGTTGGCTTCCGTCGAATATTCACATTAATCTTTCGGGATTCATACCGTTGGAGTTGTAGGAATTCTTGGCATCTAAGGGCAACATCTGTGCAACGCAAGTCCGCCAGACCCCGCTGTCCCACAAATATTCACCCTGGCCACGCGCCATCCACGTACCGGCGAACACCCCCACCGGCGATCGCCCCCCCCCCCCCCCCCTCCCCCGCCCGACTCACAGTCGCCACCGACAGGGGCGCGTCACATGTCGTCATCGTCGTCGGCCGGCACGAAGAGGTCGTTCTCCTCGAGGAAGCTGGCCATGTTCTTGCTGATGCTGGCGCCGATCAGCAGGCCCGGCAGCACGGTGAAGAAGGCGCCGATCACCGCCAGGCGGTTGCGCGGCGGCTCCTCGCGCAGCGCGCCCGTCGCCAGCGTGACGCGAGAGCGGCACTGGAGTCGGGGCGGCGGCGCGGCGGCGGCGGCGGTGCGCGCCCGGCCCATGGTCCGCAGCAGCCCTAGCCTCCCGGTCATGGTGGTGGCGACGGCGGTGCGCTCTGTCGGCGGGAGGGGTGTCAGAGCGGGAGGGGACACGGCGGCCGTGTGTGTCTTCCCCGCCGCAGGGGGGGGGGGGGCTGGAGGTCAAACCCGGCAGAGAACATCGGCGACCGGCGGCGATAAAGGCCATTATTTTGTGGTACGTGTCATGACTGCGAGGTCTCGCTGATCAGTTACCGGGAGCATCCTGCCAATAAGCGACCTCGAAATTGCCGACTTGGAGTTGCACGAGTCAACGGAAGTGGTGGGGACCTCAAGCTTGGACGGGAGGTGCGTCTTTATGTCTAAAGGACAGGTTGATGGATGTCTTGTATCGCAGGAAGCGAGATGCCTCACAATCCAGGGTTAGGGTTTTGATGTTGATTCATCCGCCGGGTATTAATGCTTATCGCACCTACCAGAAATAACATAAAAATCATCCAGCATAGGAAAGTGTGCCGAAGTT